TGTTGGACATTATATGGCATCCTAAAGAAGTTTGGATTCTATCCTAAATATTTTAGGGAGAAGAGAAATATGGTCAGATTTTCATTTTAGATTAATAGCTCTGCAATTATGTGGAGGATGGATATAAAGGTAGAGGATGAGTTAAGTCTAGAAAAATAAAAGGTAACAATGTCAGAACTAGAATAGTGGTGGCAGGGGCAGAAATCCCTTCAAGCACTATTACGAATCAGATTGTATCATAGGAAACCCAATCTCAACATGTCTAAAACAGAAACTCATCATTCCCCTAAACTGACCCTCTACCACTGTTCTGTCTCTTGAAATGACTGAACTATTTACCAAGTAGTACAAGCCAGAAACTTTAGAACCATCTTTCATTTTATCTTCCTCATCTCCTATACCCAATTAAATAATATATCCTATGCTTCTAACTCCTAGCTATTTCACAGACGTATTCACCTTTTCCCACTATGTCCCACTCCACCTTTGTTGCCTTGGACTAGTGGAACAACCTCCTAACTGATGCTGCCCATCCACGTTTCACCTCTGAAATCCATTCTCTGAACTGCTTCCAAAGTGAGCTTCTAATATGCCATGTATTATCATGTCACCATTTTGCCCAACACACCCCCTCAGTGGCTTCCCATTGTTCCCAGGATAAAGCTCACAACTCTTAACATGGCCCACAAGATCCTCTGTTCTCTGGCTCCTGCCTAAAAACAGTAAGAATTCCTGACTTTATGGGAGTTTTTAATGTGCTAGGCAGTGTGTTATGCTTTATAAGCATTATTTCATGTTATTCTCATTGTGAGGCAGAACTATTAACATCGTCCTTATCTTGCAGATGAGGAAACTGAGTCAAGGAGAGATTACATAATTTATCTGAGGTTGTAGAGTTAATGAAGTATTGGAGTCAGATCAGACTCCAGAGTGTGCGCTTAAGCTTTTACATTCTCCTCAAAATGTATGCTCCAACCATACTGCCTTACTTTCCGCTCCTAGAATTCATCTGCCGTGAGGCCTTCACACATACTACTCCCTATGTCTGGAATATTCCTCTCACAAATCTCACTTTTGCCTGGATGATATTTATTCACCTCTGCTTAAATGTTATCCCTTCAGGGAAGTCTTCCTTTACTATCTAAAATTACACTGTTTATCTGTTTACTATTTTATGGCCTATCTCCCTTCAGGAGAATGTCAAAATTGTTCACCAGTAATTCTCAGGTCTTAGAATGGCATTCAGCAGGGGTTCAATTAACATTTGCTGAATAAAGACATGAATGAATGATGTAGGGATGGAAACTCCCTAATCCAGTAACTTCATCTATTCAGACCAAGAAACAAAAAGAAGCCAAATATAAATTTGTTCATCTACTGGATATTTATTTAGTAGCTTCCAGGTCTCAGCCAACACTCTTGAGAACTTACAGCCCACTTAGGGGAGACAGATACATAAACATGTGTTTATAGCCCAATGTAAGTAAAGTGCGTGTAAGAATTGTGGCCAGAATAATGTGCAATAGATGTCGAGATGAAAAAGAGGGTATAAATCAATGGGAAAACTACACAGTAGAGAAGATTCTTGAATTCTTTTGCAGGATAATGTGTCTTGAAATATATATCACATAGTCCAAGTATTTCACTGGTAAAACAGGAGAGGAGCACTTTATATCTCATTTAATTTTCACAACAGCTGTATTATCATTCCCATTTTATAGATGTGGAAATCTAAGCTAAGAGAGGTCAAGTAACTAAACACGTTGAAGATTATGCAGCATATTAATAAAGGAGGAGAATTTATGACCAGTTCTGTCTTACACTAGTACCCATTTACTTACCATTAAATCAGTCCTTTGACCCTGTATTCCCCAGAGCCTAATTACTTGTTTTCAGTCTAACTCTTAACAAAATTGGTTATCTGATTTCCCTTTCTAATATTTAAAAAGGCAGCAAAATAAAAGATTCAGGAGGAGAATGAAGTATTCTGACAGCAAGGGAAGGAACAGAAAAACTATAAAAACTGAACACACAAATTTGAACAAAATGGATTATATACTCCTATACATTCCATTCTCAGCAGCACAACAGTATGTACTTGATGTGCTATTATGAAAAAAAAAAAAAGGATGTAGTCACCACACTAAGAGATAGAGAAATAACTTCTGATGCTTAAAAGGGCAAACTTCAAGTACCAGAATATTAATTCCTCTCTAGTATCTCTGGATAAATAGAAATTGTGACAATTGTTTCCACAGTGTTTGTGAGAAGAAATATCCCAAGATCTTAAAGAGTCATCATTTTATGCACATGATTATTTTTGTGTTTCAAACTGGATTCAAACCAGAATAGAAACACTGTTCATTTTAGCTTACATATATACCCAAGTAAATTATAAAATTTAAAACTTTTCATATTATGAATTCGAACAACACTTGTGAATTACGTAATTTAGACTGATAAGCATAACGAGCATTACTGACCATTCTTAATATCTAAAAACTTTTCACTTAAAAAATCTTCTAATAAATCTCTAATAAAACAAGATAAATTGAATATGTGCAAAACAGGAGGAAAACTACATCATTTTTAATCTTTTGCACTCACAACTTAAATAGGCATGTTATGTTAAAAAGGAAAGAATCAAACACAGAGAAAGCTAGTTGAGTAATTTATCATAACAGTTTTTTTTACAATTCACTCAACCTGGATCCAACTTTTCAATCTGCAGATGTCAGCTCCTTTACACCATGGGCTTTTATTATTTTATATAATTCTTTCTTTGAGAAAAGAAAGATTACATTTAGGGAACAGATCCTTTTTTTGTTTGTTTTGTTTTGCTCTTAAGAACAAGAGAAAATTGTTTCATCAGTTATCTTGAATAAGCTGACTAGGAAAGATTTAATATTCTTTATCATTTTAGAGGCTTTTAAATGTGAAACTTTTCACATGTTTGTAACAATGTGAAAAGCATACTGGCTACACTTCCAACAACATGGACATAAGGAAAAGCAAGTGTTGCAATTAACTGTAACTTTCACATATTTTTCCCCCCAGGAGGAATGCAGTTTTTGTCAAAACCCTCTAGAAGAAAATACTTGTTTACTTGTATTTGAAAATTACTTTTACTTTAGTTCATCCTGTCCAATTTCAACCCCAAATTCAATGTTTTACAGAACACTCTAAATGTAAGATGCTGAGTGATTCAAATAACCTATTTGAAGTATATGCAAAGTGAAAAGGCTGCAAGTAAAACTTCACTATATGAGATAGACAGTTGTACTTATAATGCTCTTCCTTACCTGGACGCTCTTCAGAATAAACTCACTTTTCTCTCTTACATCTTCAAAGGGACACCTCTTAGAAAGCATAAGCAGATGAGCAAGAAGTTTGTTCAAACCATCCAAAGAAACAGCATTTGAAAGCCCGTCTGATGGACGATAAGGTGGACGAAGACACTCGGTTTTTCTCAAAATGATTTGCCTGATGTTTTCCAGTGCTGTCTCTCTAGTAGTTGAATCTCTACTGCACAGTCCATCCCATCTCACTTCATTCTCTCCTTCAGCCATGACAATTGGAGTTTTCTTTGAAGTCTTCAGTTACCTTTCAGCATGTCACCAAAAGCACTTCGTATTTTTAAAATGAGAAATTTAAGAAAAAAATCAGAGAAATCGAATTGTCATGAAAACACACGTCTGAGTGACATTTGGAACCAGAAGTGTCTTCAATCTACAAGATAGAGCTCGCCCTTTCCTTCTACCCAGAGGGGCAGTCTTCTAGTCAGAGACTGAAAACAAAAAGTTGGAAAGTTGAAAGCTTACAGCGCTGGCTTTGCAGGACAGGCAGTGTCAGGGAAGTGTTCTCCGTCTCGCGGGGTCAGCGGATATCCTCACGTTGTGGAGCTGTCAAATCCGTGTTCTGCTCAAAAAGGTTGGTAACAGTTGAACGCTCTCCAGCCATTCGGTGTTTTTTGTCTGTGCAGCCACGGTGTTCTCGGGAGCCTTCCCACCCCGCTCCTCCTCCGGCACCAGTCCCCGCCCTCCGCAGCTCCTCCCTCCGGGCCGGGCGCTGGCAGGGAAGGCTCACTGAACCCGGGCTCACTGGCCGCGGCGGCTGGAGACCCCAGCGCTCCAGGGGTGCGGGAGTCTTGTGCAGCTGCTGTCTCGGTGTCTCGGTGGCGGCGTTAGAGGAAAGCGTCTCCTGCCCTGGCGAATCTGAACCTCCGGGCAGACGCCGCTTCTTTTCGGAACCCTGCGTCCTCTCCCAGCGCCCGCCAAGCCAGACGGGCACAGGGTAGCCCCGCGATCCCCGAGCGCGGGGCTTGGCCGCGAAGCTGGCGGAGCTGCAGGGCCTGAGGCGCAGAGCCCGCCCCTTCGCCCAGCCCCATCGGTGGGGCTCGGCCCAGAGGGCGGGAGCGGGGAGGGGAGATGGGGTCCTCACCCCCCCCAGCCCCTCCCCTTTCTCCGCCCGGCACAAACCAGGAGCCGCCCCTGCCCCTGCTCCGTCTTCCCCGCCCAAGCATACGCGACCCGCGGAGGCAAAGCCATTGGAAAAAGCCCCGCCCTCCCACAGGCTACCTCCAGACCCCAAGTCCGCGCGCGGCCGCCAACTGCTGCCGGTGTTACGCATGCGTGACGGCAAGCAGGACGCATGCGTCTTAGGAGGAGCTTAATCGGCGCCGCCGGGGGGCGTTTTCCGTCCCCTAACGTTTGGGTTTCCTGGACTGTACAGGGGAAAGAACAGGGGGAGTTGAATTACACCGAAACTATCACAGACAAGATAAACACACTCGAGAAAGAGGGCACAGGCACACTTCTGGAAGACCTTGAATCTAAATTTAAGATCAGCCTAAAAATAGTGACAGTCTCTTTATTATTGCAAACCCCAGATCTAAGAGGGCAGGGCGTCCTCGCATTGACTTCTGGGAAGTGTAGTTTTGGTGCCGCTGGCGCGTTCTGTTTGCGACAGAAACTACAGCCCCCAGGAGCCACTGCGACGTTGCCTGTGGCGGCCTGCGAGCCAACGGTTAGCACAGATGGAGACTGACCGAGAGCGTCGGCTCGGTGAGCACCGTACGCTTGGTTGCCGCCTTTCTTTTGACGGGTTTTTTTTCTCCCTCCATTTCCTCAGGGATTTTAGAGACGAAACCATCTGGCACTGTATTCCTTAGTCCAGGGACTTTTATCATTAATGTGCATAGGAAGCACTAGTCCGGGTGCCCAAGCCCGAGGGCGCGCTGAGGCGAGGATTTGGGGATGGTCGGTATCCCTAGGGTCGGTCGGAGGGAGCCACATTAGCCCAGGCAAGGGGGATGCTGTGGAAACTGGTGCTCTGCGCTCCTGCCTCTTCTTCTGTCCTTTCAAGTGGGCTCTCGCGGGATGGATTAGGGATACTTGTGCAACTGCATCTTTGTTTGCCATTATATAGAGGTATTCTATACTGCATTTGCTCAAATAAAGTCCCAAGCCAGGCTTTGGAAGAGGGTTGTCAGGTCAACTTTGTACGAGATTGAAGGCAAAAGACTCCCAAATATTCCTAGATATGAATTTTTGCAGGCTTTAATGATACCACATAAAAAAAGACCTATAGAAATCTACAAAATTTAGCATTTTTAAAGATTCAATGATTTGTTTACAGATTACTGTTTGATTTTAAAAAGTCACTTTTCATGAGAAAAGCCGAGGTGTGAAGGGCTGACAGTGGACCGACAACCAAATTAGATTTTAATTCTTCACATTGCAGAATAGATACGTTTCTTAAAACTTAGCCTTGTTAGGTACTAAGTATACAATAGTGGAAAGGACACAGCACCTATCTAGTTAAACTGATGGTTAAATATACATTACTGTGCAGCACACACACATCCGGTACACACATAAAACATGCAGTACTATATGATATCATTCGGATGGCTGGAAAGATCACTTAGCCCAGTCTTGGGAAGTCAGGGAAATCTTCATCTCAGGCAAAGAGGGAAGAAGGAACAGCATATGGTGAGGTCCAGAGTGAGAGAGATATGGTAATTTCAGGAAATTGCAATAAACCAAAATCATATATATTTTGGGAGGCATAACTTTGTGTATTGATGTACTTTGAAGCAGCAAAGAGACAGGTGCTGTGAATTTTCCAAATAGTTTCTGACAGTAACTTATCCTTGGAGAGATGTATAGTTCTGATGAGTTTGGTTTAGGTTGGAAAGGCTTGGACATTCTCCTGTTACTTGTTTAAATCAGAATTTTAAAAAACGAGAACTCCTTATGAGTATGACTTAAGCAAACAAACAAAACCATTGCTTTTTTTTTTCTTTTTGGGAGGCTCATCCTCTTTAGTCTAGCCCACAAGTGGTAGGGTAGTTTCTTAAGTCTGGGTCTCCTTTTTTTTTTCTGTGTAATGGAAACCATTGTCGTGATTTTGCCACCACCTATGACTCTTAAATGTATAGCTCCATCCAGCGTCATCTTTAACCTTTCTTATATCCATTTTCTTGATATTTCTTCTTGGATATCTCAAAAGCACCTCAAACTCACCATGCCTAAAACCAAATACACGTTTATCTCCTGTGAATCTGATTCTTTTCCAGTGTTCCTATTTCACTTTAGAGCATTACCATCCACTTGTGAAAATTTGAAACCTAAGCATTTTTCTTGATTTTTTAATGTCCTCCTTACCTCTGTAGCCAAATTATTAATAAGTCCTGAATGTCTTATTTCCCAAATATCCCTCAAATCCATCTTTTTTCTTCCATCTGTGTAAGCACAGTCTTTCACAAACTGCCATAATCACTTGCCAATACCATTGCAATAGTGATTATTCACCCTGGCCTTTCTCCATTAGTTTTCCACTCAGCAGCCAGAATGATCTTTCCAAATGCAAATCCAATTAGGTTTTCTCTTAAAACCATTCAGTGATGCCTTACCTTTATCTTAAAAGCAAAATTTCTTTATAAAGCCTAGTGTCTTCTGGTCCCTTTCTACCTCTCCAGCCCCATTTAGTATACCACTCTCCATTTATCTGTGCTTCAGCCATACAGATCTTTCTTCAGTCACTTGTTCTTATATTCCTTTTTGTCCATTTGTTCACTCAGCAAGTATCTGTTGTGTACCTACTATATAATGGGACACTGAGGATGTGTACCGCTGAGCACAATATACTCAAGTCCCTACTCTCATAGATCTTCTCATTCTACTAAGGAGAGGTAGACAATAAATATGTGACATATGTAGTAAATGAAGGCAAATGCAGTGGAGAAAAATAAGAACCAACTGGGAAGGGAATGGGGAGTGCCAGTTTTTGAGGGGCAAGTTTCACTTAAATAAGTTGGTCAAAGAACACCTAATCAAGAAGGAGACGTTGGAGGGGATCTGAAGTAGGAGAAGGAGTAAGTCATACAGATGCCTGGAGAAAGAACATTTCTGTGAAGAGAACAGCCAGTGCAAAGGCCTGTGGTTCCTCACCTTTGACAAACAGCAGTGTGGCAAGAGAAGATAATAACATGGGGTCACAGAGGAAGGAGGTCATGTAGGTGATTGAAAGGTCTTTGACTTTGTTGATTGAGATAGGAAGCCATTGGAGGGTTCTGAGCAGATGAGTTGCATAATCTGACTTTTAAAATTGATTACTTCTTTTAAATTATGTTGATCATAGACCAAGGAAAAGCAAGGGTAGAAGCAGAGACACTAGAATATTAAGTGATAGTCCAGATGAGGGATGTAGTGGACTAGGGTGATAACAATGGAGAAAGTGGGAAGAGGCTAGAGTCTGGATATATTATGAAAGTATAGCTAACAGATTTGCTGACAAATTGGATATGAGGTGTGAGAGTAAAAGAGTTAAAGATGACTCCAAGTTCTTAGCCTGAGCAACTAGAAGGAAGGAATTGCCATTTAATGTCATGGGAAATTTCCAGATTTGTGTATGAGGGTAAGGGGTGAATCAGGAGTTTAGTTTGGCCACATTAATTCTGAGATGCTTCTAAGACATTCCAGTAGAGGTGTGGAATAGAGAGTTGGATAAATTAGTCCAAAGATGAGGGGGAAGATCTGGCTATAGATAAAATTTTAGTTTTCATAGTAGTGTTTTGATACTTGGTAAAGACTGAGAATAGTTGGTATCACAAAAAGAGGCACTCCATGGAGTTTGGGTCGATTTGGTGTTATCTGCAACTGTGACTTTGCAGGAGTAGCTAGTGAACAGAGAGAGAAGCCTACAGAGTGTGGTGTCCTAAAAGCCAAGTGGAAGTAGTTGAGGAGGAAGGAATGCTAAGTTATGTTAAATGCTGCTCTAGGTCAAACGAGAAGAGGTTAACTGATCACTGCATATGGTAACGTGGAGATCACTGAGGATCTTGAGAGCAATTTCAGTGCAGTAAATGGTATAAAAGGGTGTTTCATTTAAGAGAGAATGGGAGAAGTAGAGACAGTGAATGTGGATGCAGCACCTTCAGTACTATTTTCTTTGTCCAGACTGTTCTAGCCTAGTGTTTGACTCCTATTCTTGTTGATCTTAGCTGAAATACCACTTTCTCAGAGAAGTTTGCCTGATCTGATTAAATGCCCCTGTTATGTACTCTTATTGTACCATATATCTCTTCTTGCTAATAAGTTACAAATGTAGTTTTAAAATTGTCAGTGTGATTATTTTATTAAAGTGTGTCTGCTCCTAAAGCTTAAGCACACAAGAGTAGCAACTCTGCCAGCTTTTGCTCATCTCCAGCTCTGAGTACAGTGCCTGACATTTAGAATGAACTTAATAAATATTTGACGAATGAATGAATGAAAGAAAAATGTAAAGTCAGAATTTCCAAAGGTATTGCATGTTTACCTACTGTTTATAAAAGCACAAGATAATTAATGGGTGGAGGAAGGTACTTTATAATGAAGGCATTTTAGAAAATTAGTCTTAAAGAGAGCAAAATTTTATTGCTAGTGAATTTTAGTGCTCACCCTCATGAAACTGGATTTGCTAATATTTTACCAATATCTAATCCTGTTATAAGATAGTTGAGTATATTTATATATAGAGTATAAAGCATGTATAGAGGAGTTCCTGCTTTAAATGAATAGTGCTTTAGTTAAGGAAAAAGCTGACTGGCTGGTCTCCAACAAGAGACCTTCGCTATGAAATTCACTGATGAATTAGTAACTGTAAAAAGAAACCAGGGCTCCTAAGTCTTGGGCACTTACAAACACAGTCTTGCTAAGTGCACCAGAATGTGTGAGGTTTGGAGATAAACACATGTGACTGATGAAATTTTAGGATGCCAATTTATTGATATACTTAGAGATATTTGCCAAGTAGATAGCATAGATTCTTTGACTAAGGAGTTTTCTCTGTAGGAAAATTATATGAGAAATCATCAGGTTGCTTAGGAGCTTGGAATCAGAACAAAGGAAATTAGATACATGTTGTGGTCACTTAATAGCTTTAAGCTATGAGAACCTCTGCACAGTAGAGCTTTATTTGCCTCCAATTTTTGCCCCTCTGAGTTCCTTTTTTCATTCCTGACAACTTTTTTTTTTGATGGAAACATTCTTTAAATATTTTAAAACTTTTATGTAATAACCTAGTCTCTGGTCTTAGAACCATTCAGTATGAATTTGCTGGTCCATTAGACTGATTTATAGTTTAGCCTTCAGAGGCTAATCTTATTTCTAAGTTTTCCCACCACATAGCTTATGGGGGTACATTGATCTTGAGCTCAGCAATGAGGTCTGAGCTGGAGATGTATATTTGGAAACTATCAGCCTATTGGAATATTTTGTTTTATTTTGCTTTTAACCTACCATGTCTATGTGCTTACTATGTTTCAGGCACTCTGTTAAATGCTTTGCATATGTATTATTTTACCCTTACATACTAAAAAAAAATGGTAGAGTTGATCCAATGCTTACTCTTAACTGTTATGTTAGCATTATACTATAACCATGGGAGCAAATAAAATTGGCTATGGAGAGAATGCAGAATAAGAAAAGAGCCAGCGTAGTCTGAAACTAACTAGAGAAGGAAGAGTATAATCAGGAGATGGGCAACCAAGGATTTGAAAATTTCAAGAAGGAATTACTGG